CTGACGTTGTGGTAGGCGTGGCAGTGGTATTCTCGGTTTAGTTTGAACTTGCGTTTTTGATTTAGTGCTGGTTGTTAAGCTAACTGGTTGGAGCTAACTACGTTTCCACCAGGGGCATGGTTTCCGATGCTGTTGTGGGCTGTTTCCCCTCTACTCTGGAACTTTGGGAAGAAAGTGAACCATTTTCCAGGAAGTTCCTGCTTTGCCCTGACTTCTGTGCATAGGTTTAGCCATTTCCCTCTTCAGCCCTCCAGCTTATCCGGCGAAGCTACACCCTTGATTGTTACAAATAACGTACCGCGTCAGGGAGTTTTCAAATGATTTAGTGTTTCCATTGGAGAGGCATCGTGTACCTATTTTGTGTGTAGGAGGAGCTATTTCCACATACAAATTTGATGTTATAGAGGTGTTACATTTAACTGCGCTGAAGTATTTCCGACCACACGATGCTCCGTAGCGTACCGTAGCATCAACACTGCAGAATTCTGTGTAATAAACTCACTTGAGATATCGGCAACACTGGCCTGCTGAAACAGCTGAAGCAGCTCCTTCGGCAGACTCTGGATCAGGTTGTTGGACGCGTTCAGCACACTGAGGCTCGACAACTGGGACAGACTGGCCGGCAGGGTCTCCAGGCGGTTCCCTGACACGTCCAGCACACTGAGGCTCGACAACTGGGACAGACTGGCCGGCAGAGTCTCCAGGCGGTTCCCTGACACGTCGAGCGTGCGCAGGCTGTCCAGTCCAGCCAGGGCGTGCCCCGACAGGGAAGTGACTCCCGTGTGTACCGTCAGTGACGTCACACCGGGGCAGGCCAGCCCCAGCCAGGCCAGGCTGAGGTCGGCGCCGGCTCTGGTCACCACCAGCTCTGTGTCGTTCAGCACGGCCATCACAGCGCACAGGCTGTCGACACAGACGGGACCGGCGGTGCCGCCCCAGTCGCACGCCGGCGCCTGATCCCGCCCGCGCGGCGCCGGCAGCCGCCGGAGCTCCGCCGTGGCGCTCACGAGGGCCAAGTCCCGGTCTGCCTCCTCCACTCTGCTGAGCGCCACGTACTGAGCATTGTCCGCCAGCCTCACGAGGGGAAACACCTGCGCTCCGTCTATTGCGCTGATGGCCGCTCCGTTCGTCGCGCCGACGTCACGCCGAGCAGCTGTGAGAGCAGCTGTGAGAGCAGCTGTGAGAGCAGCTGTGAGCAGCCGCTCGACAGCTGCTAGTTGGGCCAGCTGCAGGAGAGCCGCACCGGTGAGCAGCAGTTTCATTCTCGCAGCCGGCGGCTTCCCTCGACAGCTGTCTCAGACTCGGCCACCTGATGAGGAGCAGTCGTGTGGCGTTAGGGATGAATAATGATCTTTTCAAGGCACTTGGGTGGGCCTGAGCGCCGCCCCCCCCCCCCCCGCTCCCCGCTTTGTCCGTCCCACGCTGCTAGAATTTCATGTGGGGCCGATTAATCTGGTGTGGAGGCAATCTAGTTTAAATCCGAATTCGACTAGTCAATAAACTGCGAGTGCTCCACTGAAGCACTTATAATGTTGTAAAGAATGGTGCAACCGTGCTCATTATTAAGTAGATTTAAAAACTATGCTATGCACTTTAATAATAGTGGAGCATTCCAAGAGCCAGCGGTGGTCTTCACTCTTCGGAATGAGTAACCTTAAAGTATCTGGTTCTGCCAATATAATTGTTATTTAGGATTGCAACGTCGTTTAACCAATACCTCCTAGTATCCTCCCGGTATCCTCCATGTCGTATGTCACCAAAAGAACCTTGAACTCGTCCTCTCAGAATCACTTCACTTATAGAGTGACCAGTAGCCGACGTGGAGACGTGCAGTGAAGTGGACTGTTTATTCCTTGAACTATCACCTCTCGGTCTATTTCTGTGGAGGGGCCGGGGGAGGGGTACCTGAAGAGCCTGGTCTGTACCTGAGGAGCCTGGTCGGTACCTGAAGAGCCTGGTCTGTACCTGAGGAGCCTGGTCTGTACCTGAGGAGCCTGGTCTCTGAAGGAAGACCGTGAACAGTCCCTGAGGATAAGTCAGCAGAAAATAGAATTCGAGCGATCCCCATCGTTCAGTTCGCGAACTTTGTACACAAGCTGGTGAGG